ACATTATCCTTCAAACTCTTATATATAATAATACCTACAACATTTCTAGTACGACTCCTACCCGAATACCAAAGTTTAAATCCTAAACTATCAATTTCCTTAGCCTTATCTCCAACCCATTTAGTTTTCTGAAAACACAAAATATTTATCTTCCTATGAATCATAATATCTAATAATTCCATTAATTTTTCTGTAAGGGAACCTATATTCCAAGTTCTTATCCTAATTTTAGTTTAATGGACTAGCTTCTTTGCCCATATCCGTCCTTGATGTGGGAACCCTTGCCTATTTAACACTACACCAGGGCGCCGGTGCAGCAACCCTTGTACACTTGTCACTGTATTCAGGTCATACAGCGTGTCTCTTCTAAGGGACGCCCTAGCAACAGTAGTGTTAAAAAAATATATAAGGGTGCGCCTAGCTCATGTTATAGTGCAACGCATGAGTGACACTTAAGAGCCCCAGCAGCAAGCTACTGAGATGGACCCTCCCCAACAAAAATTAATTTAATATCATAGTGGGCCGATGGCCCACATATCAGATATTAAACATATAAGAACATAAAGTTTAATAGATGGCCCACATATCAGATATTAAATTAAAAGTTTAATAGATGGCTGTGAAATAAATTGAACTATAGAAAGTCAGAACAAGAGGGGGTGAATTGGTTTTTCAAAATCTTTTTCAAAACTTCATAAAAATTTTGAATTAAACAACAAAATTAAAAAAAAAATTAAAGTGAAAATAAATAAAAAATAAATATTAATTTTTATTCTTAATTTTATAGAAAAATAATTTAATATTTATATTTTATATATTTTTTGAAATAATGATCAATTCAATCAACCATAGTGATTATCAAACTCAACCAAATTGCAGTAAAATTAAATATGCAAGAAAGTAAATTGCTTAAAGTAAATGTAGATAAATAACACAAAACTAGATTTTTATGGTAGTTCAATCAACATGCTTACGTCCACATCTCCAAAGTCATCCTCCTCATCGGTATTGCTCTAAATAATTAGTGACTCTCCTCCATCTCACATAGGGGTGTCAAATTTCTGTTCACGGTCGGGTTCGGGTCAAACCTCAGAATTAACTCGGGTTCAAATGGGTTGCCCTAACCCGACCCGATGTAAAGCGTGTCGGATATCTGAATTCAAACCCGACCCGATGGGTTGCTGGGTTGACCCGACCCGACACGAGTTGACTCAAAATGGGTGCGCGAGGGCGATGCGCTGGCAAGCAGCAAGCATGTTCGCGCGGGCAAGCACCAGCGGTGTGCAGGGGAGCGCGAGCGGGCACAGGCGAGCGCCACCGGGCGTGCAGGCAAACTCTCGTGGGCGGCAGCAGGGTGCGGCGCGGGCGAGCGGGCAGCGTTACGGGCAGGCAGGTGCAGGCAAGCACTAGTGCACGCGGGCGAGCAGAGCAGCGTCGCGGGCAATCGGGCCAGCGTCGCGGCAACGAGAAGTATGAGCAGTTGATTTTAAACGGTTCGCGGGGTTACCCGCAACAACCCATCGGGTCAACTCGAACCTGACCCGTTTTTCGACAAAACGGTCGATTCTAGAACCACGAACCCTCGCACCAGTTTGGAAATCAGGTTGGGTCCAACTCGATTTCAGGGTTCGGGTTCCGGGTCGGAAGTTTTTCGTGTCGTGTCAATATTGACACCTAATTCCGCACACGGCTAAGGCAGATAAGGCCTTACTAAAATTACTATCCACCAACCCAGTGTCAGCGAAGTAGCTGAATCCCTTTCACCTCCTTAGTGTGGCAGAGTAGTTAGAATCTTTATCACTCTCCTGGTTAGGCGGAGTAGCCCAAATCACTTTTTCTTTCTCAATGCGATGGAGAAGCTGAAATCACTTTCACCCTTCTAGTGAGTTGGATTAGCCTTAATCACCTTCTTAGTATAGTAGAGAAGAAATAACCCTTTGACACCAAAGGGGTCTTCCCAAAGCTTCAAAATTTAGGTGCAATTTGGTTGGAGAAACCATGTAGAATCCCCTCTCACACTCTCTTGAAATGCACAAAGATCTTCTCCCTCTCTCTCATAACTTCACCCTTTCTCTCCCTTGCTCAAATCCCTCTCTTCAATGCTCTCTCATAAAGACTCAACCCTTTGACTACTAAAAGACTTATATAAAGTCTATTAGAAAGATTATAGAATGGACTTTCAAAAATCCTAATTATTCAATTATGTAATATTTGTTTGTACAATATGATGTATGAAACATACAATACGATTAGCTTAATTCTTTCTTGTTAGTATTGTATGATAAATAGTAATCCAATACGACTAGTTCAAATTCTTCATTTGTTGTACAATATGAATTTATGGTCATACAGTACGATTCATTCAATCAAATCATAGTTCATCCAAAATAAACCTTAGGAAGAATAAAAATTGTTTATATCAATCATCTAGTACAATCATGTCCATACAAAATGATATAAAACCTTAGTTAAGCCATGTTTGATTGATTAATCATATGGATTAAATTAAGCAAGATTTTTAAATTGTGTACAATACGATTTGATTCGTACAGTATGAATATACTAAATTTTTAAATATTAAAATATTACCTAATTTTAAATGGCGATGGGGATTTCTAAATATATGTGATCATCCTGTATGATTTCATTCATACGATATGATTAATTCCTTTTAATTTCAAGATTTATTTTACTTAATTAAATATTTTAACTAATATTTTTTATTATACTGATTGTACAATACAATATAGATTACCCAATACACTCTTTAGAAAAAAAATAAAATATTTAATTTCACTCCCTTTGTGTATGTGCTTGTTTGCTATGCTAACATACACCATTTTACATACATTGACTCAAGAAAATAAAAATTACAGACTCTTTTAAATAAATTTATCATATGCAACCCGTTCTTGAGCTCTGATTCTTTAATAATACTTGGTGTATGGTGAATCTAAAATGTTAATGATGCACACAAAAAATATATGTTAGGCTCTTGGATTGTAACAGAATCCAAGCTTGAGCTTTCCACTCTTGCACTCAATCAAAGGATATGATAGAAAGAGGCTCTAGTTAATTACTTTAAATGTTAGAAAGATGATAAAATCTAATTCCTTATCTCTCTTGAGCAAATTTCTATCTACCTTGATTATACATGGATATGTTCCCTCGTGATTTATACATGGATATGTTCTTCTTCAAGTTCCCATCTACCTTGATTAAGCCAAATGGGTGGTTTTGGTGTTTCTAAGGAGGGAAATAAGAGTGTACTTAAGGTTTTGAATTTGGAAAAATCCCATTGGTCAACTATACTAAGGATAATCCTCTTTAAGTATAGTTTTACCCATTATTGCCTATAGATTAAATAGTTTTATTAAGAGTAAGATTAATTGAAATAATTATTAAACTCATTTAATTTATAAATTCAAAATTTAATTCCTTGGGTTTAGTCATTTTGATAGGTTTAAGGTAGGTTAAACCCAATTAGGTCTTATTTAAGTAGGTTGACATATTTGGCCAAATTGACTTCCTTAAGTGGGTCAAATAAGTTTGTCCTAGATAGTTTTATTTCCTAATACCCATAACTTTATTCACTCTCAAGGGTTTGGATGGGTTAAACCATTGTTGACCTCATCTATGTATGAGGTCACTAGGACCTAAGATGGTTTCTTTCTAGTGACCTAATGATTGAGAGGTGTCCACTTCTCAGCCATATAGGTCCCAATCATAACCAAATCTAAGTCTAATCAAATCTAGTTCTACCTTTCAATCCAATCTTTAGTTTAGCCCTTCCAACCAAGTTTCAATTAACTTTCAAATCATATCCAATCAATTTTAACCATTCATTTGATTTTCATTGATGCGGATAATTCAAACTCAACCATTCAAGTCCAAAATTCAATCCAAATCAAACATTCCAAATCAAATCCCAAGGTTAAGGACCTATGTCCTGAAACCCTTTATGATTGAATTTTCTATCAGTTGGAAACTTAGTCAAATGACCTATAATTTGGGGTCTTTCAATTATATCTTGTTTATATATGTCTCTAAGACCAACCCACCAAATATGAACCCATTCTGAGGTTCCTAGCCTAAAAAATTAGATTGATTTCCAAAGGCTGCAAAACCTTCAAATATTTACAACTTGTGCCATTGGACATGCCATATAGTGGAATTTAACCTTGGGACCCCTTCCAAACCTTATAACCACATCCATGACCTCTTTCATGAATTTTTTATCAATAACTTACACTTTGCTGGACCCAATTTGATCCAGTGTTGACTAGGGGCCAAAATAACCAAAATGTCATTTAAAGTGACTTTTGGCCTTTTCTCCAAAATTCAACATTGCCTTCCCATATCAACCTTTAAAACCTACCCTAATAAAACTTGAATATCATTAGGAATACATTGGATCCAGTCAATCATGGTTGACCAAAGTGGCCCTTAAGGGTTTAAACACCCATTTTAAACCAAATGACCTCCTTTTGATTTGAAACCAACTCCATTGAGTTCTTGTGATCAATTTGTTGACCAAGTAAACAAAATTTGACCAAACCTCCCAAACTCTTCTAGCCATTTAAACCCTTTGACCAAGGCTTTTCCAAGCTAATTCAAACCCCTAGGACCACCCATTGGACCCTTGAGGATGATCCTTATGTCTACTTGGGATAGCCATTTGTCTTGACCCAAGTGTCGAAAGAGAGGTTCCCCATGAGCGAAGTTTCAACCCTAGCCAAATAGGATCAAACTAATGGTCGCATTGAGTTCCTCTTGACCCAATACACCTTTCCTAGTTGTCCTAACCCTTGGGTCAACTTGGGTTAGAAATTAGGCTAACTCAAGTGGCTAAAACCACCATGGGTTGAGCCATTTCCCAACCTAGGCCTCACTAAGCCAAACCAACTCCCCCATTGGATGACCCTAGGTCCAACACACCCACCCAGTCATCCCAACCCTTGGGCTGACTTGGGTCAACCTCTAGGCTATCCCAAAGTGATCAAAACCCAATTAACACTTACATTGGGTGCCCCTTAACCCAATGCACCTTCCACCCTAATCTCATGACCTAGCTTGAATAAGGTCTTACCCAAATGGACCTAAACCTATCAATGAATGAGTCAACCTGAGCCATATTGGGGAATTAGGCCACCCCATGATCAATTCAACCCATGATTAAGTTCACCATAACCCGACCTATCTTCCCTATCAAGCTCGCCATGTAACTTGACCTGAGCTACACCCAAATCGACCCAAACCATATAGGTTTGGGTATACCAAACCCACTTTGCTAAATTAGGATGCCTCTTGCCCAATTAACTCTTTGATTGAGTTAACAAGGCTCCCAACAAACTCTCCACATCACTTTGATCTAGCTAGTGGCCGATAGTGGCTAGAATGAATGGAGAAAGAGCTATGGTGGTCCCCTCCATATTGAGCTTCATCTAGGACTATCTAGTGGCTCAATCCATTGGTTTTAAGCTTACTAACCTCTAAGGAGGTGTACCCTTCCATTTGGTGGTCATCTAATGGCTTGCCCAAGCCATCCCTACCATCCATGGTCGTTGGGGTCATTTGAATAGGGCATCTCGATC